CCAGCTTCTGCCAACCTAGCAGTTCGAAAGCACGTAAAAATGCAAGTAGACAAATAGGGACCACCTTTGGTGGGAAGGTAACAGCGTTCCGTGCGCCTTCGGCATTTAGTCATGCCGGTCACATGATCACAGAGATGTCTTTGGAGCTAGGGGATGGTGCTTCAGAGCACCGTCCCCTAGAGTCACGAACGACTAGCACATATGTGCAAGGCAGTGGTGGGATTCAGCCAGTTCGCACCTATTCAGGAGAACCGGTTGTTAATTTTCTACACAGTTCGGAGAACCGGTTGTTGGAAGAAATCTCCTTTTATTCCCCCCCCCCTTTACAGGGCTAATCCTGTAAGGAAGGGCAGGAAGGAAACATTCTGGTGTTGCTTCTAGCCTAATATTTATTGCCCTGCTTACAGAAACTGCCTCTTCGGTTAAGCCTTATTACATTACAATAGCTAAGGCAAAGCGCCCATCGACGTAAGTGATGTTGAGTTGACCACGCCTACCCAGTCACATGACCACCAAGTCCTGCCTACTCAGCTGGTCATTAGGGCACAGATTCAAATTATTTGAATCCCAGCACTGGTGCAAGGGGAATCTTTACTTTACCTTACAATATTAAAAACAGATTATAAAAAAGAATTTGGGATGGAGCACTATATTAGAAACAGACTATATATAGCAATTAACAACATGTCAGAGTTTGAGTAATTGTCAGAGATTAATTGTTGCTAGAAGTGCTCATGGTTTATTTAATCAATCAATTGGATTTATGTACAGGGCTTTTAGTCTGCTTTAGTCAGAAGCAACTCTTGGCCGGCTTCTCTCTCTACAGGTAGTCCTCGACTTATAACAGTTGATTTAATGACTGGACCATTTGAAGTGATGACCGTTTTTCACACTTGGGACCATTGCAGCATTCCCATAGTTATATGATCAAAATTTGGATACTTGGCAACCAGCATGTATTTATAATGGTTGCAATGTCCCAGGGTCGTGTGATCACCTTTTGCAATCTTCTAACAAGCAAAGTCAATGGAGAAGCTTAACGAATTAAATTATTCCCTTAACAGCTGTGTTACTAACTTAACGATTGTAGTGATTCACCTAACTACTGAGGCAAGAAAAGTCATACGATGGGGTAAAATTCTCTTAATGTCTCACTGAAGAATAGAAATTTTGGGCTCAAATGTGGTTGTTAGTTGAGGGTGACCTCCATTTGTGTTTTTAATAAACAAAAATGGCACCTGAGCTTGCAACCTCCCACAAAAAGAAAACGGCAGAAAGATCCTTGAATGTAAAAATGTGACAATAGCAGAATTTATGAGGTAAAAAAAACCCGTTCACAGAACACATAACCAGAGTAGCAGCTTTCCTCAGACACAATGGCCTCAAAATAAGTACATTCACCTCAAGATGTCATTTGTGTAATGATGTCATTACATATGTGATGTCACTGCTCCCCCTCCCCCACAGCTCAGCAGCCTATGAACGGCGTGATTGCCTCTGAGTAGGTATTCAGCTAGTTCGGACCAGTTCTGGAGAACTGGTAGCGGAAATTTTGAGTAGTTCGGAGAACCAGTAAATATCACCTCTGACTGGCCCCGCCCCCATCTATTCTCTGCCTCCC